GATTAAACGTACATAACTTGTAAAAACTTGTGAAATAATTTTAAACACTAAATTTTTGTGAAATAGACTATTCCTCCAATTTTAATCCTCAATTCCGTACATAAGAAATTAATAAGTAAAGAAAAAAAAAAAGCTTTTGGTTTCGTAAACACCAGTTATTGTATTTCCATGTTAAAATCCAGCTCACGAACTGTCACGAAACTACTGCAGGTTTTTACAACGATATTACCAATAATGATCACGTATATCGGTGTGTTTCAAAACAGCGCGTGTGAACAATGTCCTATGAACCGCAAACAATCCCGAATACATGGCCGGAACATTAGAAGAAGAAAAAAAATTGTTTACCCTCGAGATAGTTATATATTTACAAATCATGAATAAAACCACACACTTACCTCATAGTGCAAACCTGCGGCCGTCCAAACTCCGATGGCGAGAAAAACCACGGCGACACCCCGTGTCCGAAGTTCCATGTTCCCAATACGTGATTACTGCAGCGCATAAAATAGGTGTAATTTATGTCATTTGTAAGAAACTCCACATATCATGTCACACACACGTGCAGGCGTGCACATCCATATAAATGTACACACCTACCGCGGTGCAAAGAGATAAAATTTTCCCATCGCGAGAGCCGCGTGAAAATACATTATTATTATTAATCGACTCGTTCGAACAATGGGTATAGAATTAAGCAAATACGATAAAGTTTTCTTCGATGAAAGAAAAATTCACACACAGTCGCTCTTTTTTTTTTTTTTTTTTTTTTGTTGCACCGCGCGGCCGAGGCGTCCTTTCATTATATTTCTTCCCCCACCCTCTCCTGTCTATTGTAAACTGCTGCTCCATTTGCACAATTTAACCAATAAATTTTCAAGCTCCGATGGTATCGCTGAAAAATTACGCTGGCGATCATTTTCCGAGAACCACCACGCAGTTCGCGCCACGAGCGGAAGGAATACATTTTCATCGCGCTTATGAAAGAAAGTCTGTTTCGTCGCAACGGCGTTGCTCCTCTTGAAAAAAAAAAAACTTTGGTAGCCTTTTCACGCAACTGCCATTGGAAACTGTCGGAGGACCCGGTGCATCCGCGATAAGCAAACACAAACGACTCGACGCAGGCTATCACGGATGGGCTTATCGAGTGACAATTTCACTGTTTGTGCGCGTGTACCTATTTTCACTTATGTCAAAAAAAAAAAATGAGCCATTTTACTTGATTATCTTCGGTTTACTCGCGTACAGATTTTTATTGTTAATCAGTAAAACAGAACAATCAAGTTGAAGGTATCAAGATTTTACTTCCTCATTGATTTGATAATGTTATCTCGTCTTTATAGGGTATGCGTAGCGAAGGAAATTTAAATCGTGTTATTACTGTAAATATACTGCATTGATAATATTAAAAACAGAAATTCACTGCAAAATCCACTTACACGTGTCCCGAGGAAAAATGCATAAATTCTTCCTGTGAGGGAAATTTAAAAAAATTACTCCGTCGACACCGCAAAATCAGAAAAAGAGACGCTCGCGAGACAAAAAAAAAAAAAGCAACTTTCGTCTTACGAGAAACAGATAGACGAAAACCGAAGAAAGTGGCCCAACTTTTTTTTTTTTCCTTTTTTTCCGTCCAGCGGGCTTCGAAGTTCGAAAGACACTTCCGGCGTAAACCTGATTTTGTACTGAAAGTTCCGACAGAAGCGACCGAGAGCCGTAACCGTTTAAGCGCCAATGAGGATTCAACCGACCGAATATTACATCGCCAGCCCACTATATGACTTGGATTTCATGAAAGGCTACGCGATAAAAAGCTCCCCCTCTACTTGCCGCGTGCGTTCGCGCTTCTTTTTTTTTTTTTTCTCTCCCGTTGCCGGCTTGTTACTCCTCTTTGACTGTTACATCCACGCGAAATCCCCCCAATTATCCAACGGCCCCTCGATGAGCTTTCTTTTCGGGTTTTATCGTCTGTTGTGAAAAATCCTCGTCCTTGGCGGTCGCTCCTGAATTTTCGTTTTTACAATCCAAGCTCGCGAGTAAATTACACTACTGGAGCAGCTTACGTATGGATTTGCCCGAGACTTGCGACAGACGAGTACATGTAGCTTCCTACGCAAGCCTTACACAAGTCTTGGGCAAGGCAGCTTGCAATGTTCGGATACACTCTTTTAGCAACTTTTGTGGCAGACGTACACGACAGAATAAGCGAGCCTTAAATTACATTTTCGTAGAACTCTGCTATCATTTTGCAATTATAAAGAAAGAGATCGATCCATTTTTTTTTTTTTTTTTTTAAATTATCAAGGCGTCCTTTACTCTTAGCCCCGCTGCACAATGATGCAAAGAAGAAAATAAAGAACATTTTACAAATGTATCGGAGAAAGGGAGAAAGTGAGGAATAATCATTCGATCAAACATGGTAATTTAAATTAATGCAATTTCACAAGCAGCCGTGCAAAAAATTTGCGTAACGCTTGCATAAGAAGCTGGCGCACTCATATGTAGCAAATCTGTCGCAGGTGTGCTTGAACTTTACAAGGAGCCTTGCAAAAAAACTTACGTTAGGTTTACATAAGTATCTGGCTCTCAATCGTTTGTTCGGAATCTTCCGGAAATGTGTACAAGATCAAGAGCTTATAACCCATATTTTATATTTATTAGAATTCAAATGAAGAAATCACGATGATAGAGTACTCCAACCACACTACGAGAAAAATTTAATAAAAATTACTGTGCTGGAATGGTAATCTGGTGTCATCCCGCCGTCTAGGCTGGAATAAAATTATTGTTCCAATAGTAAAAAGTCTCCAGACACGACCAAACACTACCAGATTACCATTCTACCACAGTAATTTTTATTATATTTTTCTCTCAGTACACATATAGATAAAGTTAATGAAATATAATTTTAAACAATGAGGTATCAGCGTAAAGTATGAAAGTGCAATAAGAAAAAAAAGAGCCAATGACTATTCAACAATTTACGATTTATGACTTTTTAGTTTTGGATAACAGCACACGTAATTTATTGATAAAAATAAAAAAAATAAAAAAAATAAATAAACAAAAAGGTTTCAGAATTACCGTACAACACAATCTGATCGATCAATCAAAAATTAAATCTTAGTAAATTCATGAAATCAAAAGTACTTTCACAATTGAAACCCCTGTGGGTTGGGACGTTACGTTTTTTTTTTTTGAACGTCAGATCGATACGGCAACTCGACGTTAGTCTCAGCCTCGCAGGCGCCTTTCGGTAAATCGAGCTTCCACGACAGCGGCGCCCTACTATACGTTCATCCATGGTATCCTTTTCCGCGATGTCACGATGTTTGGCGTCACTTAGGGGCCTCCCCTCTGTTCCATGTATCCCCGAATCAATATCCTTTTTTAAGGGTGCTTGTTTGGTTGATTAATTTTTTTTTNTTAAAGAAAGTCAATCATCACTATAGAAAAATTTATAGAAATTGCTCGATTATAGAGGAATGCAATTTTCAAATCCTCGAAATTCATTGAAATAGTCTAACACATTGTCATTTATTTTCGTCGACTGTTTCATTATTTGACAAATTTAAAGCTAAAAATACATCTCACTTTCGTACCGAAATTTTAAAAGCAACACAATTAATGAATAAACGAAATTATGTAGTAACGTTCTTTTACGCTCAAGTATATATGTACAAGTCAACATTTTTAATTAATTTTCCGTTGAAGTATCCCGAAAAACCTTGTAGAAAGATTTTAATGAGAACGTACGAAATTCGAATTCCACTCTTGAAAAAACTCGACTGTGATGGAAATGTATTTTTAATTCGTGTATCTCTTGAGAATACAAGTCAAGGAGGAAATACGCTTTCATTTTGCTTGCATCAAATCGTACCTGTTAATAATAATAAAAATTAAAAAAAATTTATCGTTCAATTTACTCTCGGCTGTTGGCGGAAGCGCATTTACGAAAAATTCAACTGTCACGTGTTTGCTTACACAAAATATTGAAACATACACATACACCACGCATCGCTGTATTATTCCACAAAACAATAACCCAGAGGAAATAAAAATTTACAACTCTTTTGAAAATATTTTTTTTTTAACAAGTGATTTATTGTATCCATATTTCTTTTCTCGCTAAATATATCTAACTAGTTGACGCACTTGTCACGTTTATCTCACACGTTAACATTCATACAAGACCATTTTCACCTTATAAATCGATTGCAATGCAAAATATTCTGCTATGCTCATTATGATTTCGTAAGAACACTTTTCACCAATTTGCAATCACCATCATTTCGAATCGAGAGTAAAAAAAAAAAAAACACGCAAGTCTTGGTGGAGGAAAAAAATTGTCACACTAACAAGAGTATTCACTGTTTAAAAACTATGTAAACTCAACAAAGTAAAACTTGTGCTTCCCCTCACGAAAGTCTTGGATGAAACAAATGTTTTTCACTCGCGACGTTTTTTCATTCAGCATCGCGTAGCCATTATAAAGAATAGCGTTGGCAAATATATACAATACACAAAGTTTTCAACACATGATTGACCTACTTCCCGACACCTTGGCGTGTCGAGAACGCAACATAATTATCATCCGCCTATAATTCAGCAGACACCAATAACTCTGTCGTACTTGTTCCTTTACGGGTATACACCCTCTTCGGTTGAGCCGGTAAATCAATAATCCACCGAATCCGTATTTCAACCAAAAAACGTCTATACCCACACATCCTTCATCCCTCTCGTCGCAAAAGTTACAAGGTTTTACACACTTCAAGGCTCGTTACACGATAGACTGATGTACTATACTTGAGTAATACTGGACGAATACGTTATGTTCGCGATGACGTATAAACATGGATATGACTTAATCTACTGAGCACGATGAGCTACATTGATGCGATCGCCGTGAACCCTGTATACTTGGGAATGATTATTTGAAAAAAAAAAAAATCAAAGTCCAAATCATATCCCCAAGAGCATCACTTTTGCAAGGGGGCTCAGTGTATCCGTATCAGTCCCCTGCGCGCCTGCCTGTGCACAACGTTAGCCTGCATCAGCGCGAGCCAGTACTCCTTGATCATGTCGCTCGCCTTCTCGCCGACCATGATCACGGGGGCATTGGTGTTGCCGCTTATCTGGTTCGGCATGATCGACGCATCCGCGACCCTCAGGCCCTTGACCCCGTAAACCCTCAGCTCGGGATCGACGACCGCCTGGTGGTCCCAGTGGGGGCCCATTTTGCAAGTGCCCACGGGGTGGTAGACCGTGGCCGAGTAGTGCCTGATCATGCACCGCCAGTAATCGTCGCTGTACAACACGAGGTGCGAACAGCCGGGAAACGGCACGGGATTGAGCTCGCTGCCGTACTTACGGAAGGCCCGCGTCCTGCTCAGCGCTATCGCGATCTTCAAACCCTCGACCAGCACCTCCAGGTCGTGCGGCTCCTTGAAGTAATTCGGATAAATGAGGGGATGGTCGAAGGGATTCTTGCTGCGCAGCCTTATCAAGCCCTTGCTACGGGGCCTCAGCAGCATGGGCAGCACGCTCCAGGCGTCCCTGTTGCTTATGCGGCCGAAGACGGCGTCGTAGAACCGGCCGGTTAGACCGTGGATCTTGCGGATCTGCCGGCCGCCGTCCGAGTTGGTCGAGCCCGAGACGAAGTGGAGCTCGATGTCCGGAAAGTCGGCGCTGGCGTTGGCGTACTTAGTGTTGACGAAGGCGAGGCCCTCGACGCCCCCGAGGACGGTGAGGGGCCCCGTGCCCCAGATGGCGTACTGCATAACGGCGTTTAGGCTGTAGAGCCGGCTCTCCACCATCGAGACCTCCTGGTTCACCAGAAAGGTCAGCCCACCCACGCCTATGTGGTCCTGTAGGTTGTCGCCGACGCTCAGCTCCTGGATCACAGGGATGCCCAGTTGGGTGAGGTGCTCCTTGGGACCGATGCCCGACAGCATCAAAAGCTGCGGCGAGTTTACGGCCCCGCCAGACAGGACGACCTCCTTCTTGGCTCGGATCCGGTACACCTGCTTGTCGCGCATGAACTCGACGCCGTACGCGCGCTTGCTCACTGGGTCTATCAGCACCTGGAAAAGTATTGTGTTTCGTTGCGTGGTTCGTGCGATTTTTCATATTCATCGGTGATGGTATAATATATACGTACCTTGGTGACGTGGGAATTCATGGCTATGTGGAGGTTCTTCCTGAGCCTCGCGGGCCTGAGGAAGGCCTTGGCGGTTGAGCAGCGGCTGCCCCGTCTGATGGTGCCCTGGGCAATCATGAAGCCGGTGTGGTACTCGCCGTTAATGTCCCGGTTCTCGTACCCCATCTCCTTGCCGGCCTCGACGAAGGCAGTGGCCAAGGGCGTGTGCCAAGGGGCCTCTTGGACGGTGAGGTAGCCACCCGTCGTGTGGTAAGGCGTGCGCGCCAGGTAGGGGTTCTGGTTGTCCTCGGACTTCATGAAGTAGCGCAGGGCCTCGGACGAGTTCCAGCCGTAGTTGCCCTGCTCCTGCCACAGGTCGTAGTCCTTGCGGTTGCCCCGTAGGTACAGCATGTAGTTCAGGACGCTCGAGCCGCCGATCACTTTGCCCCGTGGCCAGTTGCACCGACCGCCCTCCATGGCTACATTTTGCAACGAAGTTGGTTATTGTGTTAGCGCTCTTTTTTTCACCCCTCGTCGAGTCAGAACTTTTTTTTTATCGAAATGGACGGGGAAGCTGGTGAATTGGAGTTTGGAAAATCATCCCGAGGCAGCAAGGGTGTTTAAAACGTTAAAATTGCAGGCGAAATGTTGTACAAAAAAAAAAAAAAAAAAAAANCGTTAATGTTACAGGAGACGATTTCGTTAGATGAGGTTTACGTCCAAAAGATGAACTTTACTCTTGGTCGCCTATACGGATGATTCGGCGCTTTCTCTGGAAAAACTTTCTCATCGAGCTCGCATATCCTTTCTCTCTCTCTCTCTCTCTCTCTCTGGTCCCTTTTCCATTTGAATCCTACATGCTGAATTGGAGTTTGGAAAATCATCCCGAGGCAGCAAGGGTGTTTAAAACGTTAAAATTGCAGGCGAAATGTTGTACAAAAAAAAAAAAAAAAAAAAAAACAACTTGAATGGAAATGCTCGATTTGCGAATCGCCTTAAAATAGTCAGCCACTGGGCTTAAAACAGAGTTTGTCACTTTGACGAGGGAAACAGTGTTGTTCGTGATGTGTGAGTATAATTTACCAAGGCAGGAGTCCCCCTGAGGCTCGGTCTTGTACATCCAATCGAGTTTGCTCAGCTGCAGGTAACCCGCGAGTAGCGGCACGTCGGATATTTCGGTCTCATCACCGCCCGCTTCCAACAGCAGGACGTTCCAGTTCTCTATCTCGCTTAGCCGACTGGCCACCACTGCCCCTGTAGTATCCAAAAATCCAAAAGTATCCGAATCGGTAAATATTGAAATAAACAAGGTGGAAAAAAAAAATAAACAAAAATGTATTAAAACTCACCCGCCGAGCCCGCCCCGACCACGATGAAGTCGTAGGAGGGCAGGAGTAGCTCCGAGGGTACGTCGATCGGCCGTGACTCGGGATCCATGACCTCGTACTGGAAGTAGACGATCGCAGCGGCTAGGGTTGGGATGAACCAGGCCAGACTCCCGGTCGCCGAGCTCGCCGTCGCCGAAAGGATGTTTTGCAGATCCATCCTCGCGTCCTTCCTGTCTTTCGCTTGTTCTTCCCCCTTTTATTTTTTTTTATTTATTTTTCTTTTTTCACTACTTTTTCATTTGTACATCAGGATCGGATTGAAGAAGTAGTCGAACTCCCGATCCTTTGATGGTTTTTTTTTTCGACTACTGAAAATACGAACCGATACGAACGGCGTTCAATTAATTTGAAAGAAAACAATGGAAAGTGGTTCTTTTGTGAATGTTAAAAAGGCGGTGTTTTGATTTTTGAAGGAAAAAGCTACGAGAAAGATAAATAGTGCCGTTACTTATTTAGCAAATACAATGATTAAAAAAAAAAAAAATTTTTTTGTTATTTAAAGTATCCTTACAAAAATCAAGGTAATTATTTCCCACCAAAGTGTCAGTATTACGGACTATTTATATTAAAAATCCTGTACTTTTATATTGCATCGAATATAATGAAAAAAATATAATGAATATAATTAAAAAAATAAATAAATAAATAAACTCCAAAGATCGTACCCAAATACTATCGCGAAGACACTTTAGACGAATCGATCGATAAGCAGCGACGTACTTCTATGATATCTCTATTGGCTAAGGATTGACGAAAGACTGAGCCGATCCCGGTGACTTTTACCAGAGTCGTTAAAGGAAGAGCCACTGGCCAGCAGCCTCCGTTTGGTGATAAAAAAAGAGAGAATAAGAAGACGAACAAGAAAAAGGTGGGGGTGGAAACGCGTGAGCAACACAGGCTTAATCGAAATGCCTGTATACAGTCCACTACTTTACATCGCGATCACGTTGTGGCGTGTAAAAAAAGTATCAGCTATCTGATGAGTGAAAAGACAATTCATTTTGTACTCTTTTTTTAAATTTAGTTAATTAATTTTTTTTTTTTTTTTTTTTTTTTTCTCATCAATCAAGATGATTTACTTTTCTGTACGAGTGTGAGATATTATTTTTTCATACCTCGAAAATCTGTAGATATTATTATTTTCAGTATAAAAAATTAAAAAATCCTTTTTTTATCCCGTAAACTTTTTGCGATCGCTTAATTGAATTCCGCTCGATTCGTCTACGACATGTCTCCCATTTGTATAGCTTATCTCAATAGCTTTGGCTCTATAATGCCCATACTTATGCAAATTGAAGAAACACACCCCACGCGTGAGAAAAATTTCAAATATTTTTGACGAAGGACGTCGTCTACTGATTGATTATTCATGGCGAAAAATTCCAAAGATCCGGAATTTTTATGTCCTTACTCGCGGTAAACAATATTAACGTTTCGACACCACAAAATTCCCGCCGTAAAACTCAATAAGAGTACACACGATTATCCCCGCAACGAAAGAGCCAAAAATCAGAGTGCTATCGTATTCCCGGTGGCGTTCGAAACATTCTGTTCACCACCCGCTGGTCCTCCTCTACAGAAAGGATTACGCAATCAAAGCGAGCACGTTGGCTCCGTGAATTCGTAGTTTCACATTTTTTGGTTGGCTGACGTATCGCTGCATGCCAGACACGTTCCTACCCGGCAATACTGTGTTGCGCGACTGACAGCATAGGTATACGTGAGGGAGGGAGGGCACGTGCACGGCCAAGCTTTGCCCAACTCGGGTTTGATCCCCAAGTTTTAAACGACATCATTAATCCCTTTGACTTGCTTTTCGTGCCAAACCAACTGTGTTGTACTTTAAATTCGAGTGTAATCGTTGAAGCTTCGCGTGTTGATAAAAAAAAAAAAAAAAAAAAAAAATCCATAAATGACACATGACAGTGAAAAAAATAGATGTATAAATGTCAGCAAGGAGTTTAATAGTCAAGAGTGTCGAGGTTATACAGGGGGGAGGCTTGAGGCTGTAATAAAATACTGCGGGTGCCATTGGCATTCCTGTACCGTTTGAGGACTCTCGTGTGTATACGATCGGAATCTGCCTTGACTCGTCGTGACATTCATCCAATCGCGGACGTTTTGAAAATCGTTAATTACCAGAGCACATATCGATTTCGAGGCACATATTTTCATAATATACCCATAAATATACGATCGCTATAACCACACGAGCCTCGAGGTGGTATGTATACCGATTTTGCGCGCTTTTTCGAAATGATCGGTTCGGCTAAAGTCACTTTATATATACGAGATGTTGTTTCGTGAACTATGTCAAACTGTGGTCAACAAGAGGTATATTATGTCGTGCACCTGTAAACTTACTTCCGTGAGAAAATGACGATACTCGGGTGCGCGCGCGACTCACAAAACGGCAAAATTCTGGGCCATCGCGGTTAAGGCTTTCCATGCCAAAAGAGACAAAGACCGATTTGCCGGTCCTCCTTTCGTCCACCCACGCGATCCTCGAGCTGCAACTCACTATTGTTTTGACCGATGGTAAAAAAGGCGCGTTTTTCTTACCTCTCCAAGAAAAATATCCGCCAAAAGTGAGCACTAAACCAAATGACGTACGGTCGTCATGACCGGTTCATCCACCACGGCACAAGTAAACACCCGAACGACAACTCTCACACGCGTGTACGCGAATCTTCTCGAAGTCCTCCGTCGAAGGAAGAAGAGAAAGGAGCACCACGTATAGATTGATGAAACTACGGCTTTCGCATGCCCGGAAAACCGGAAGATCGAGCTCGCCGGGCGATGTACGGCCAAAGGAATAAGAAAACTCGAGGAGCGAGCAGCAGCATCTGATGTTCTCTGCCGCGGGTCGACCGTGACCTTGCGCGCGCCGGCTGGCCGATCATTGCGGCGATGGCCGAGTCGACTCTCCGCGCGGCGCAAGTAACGGTCTCTTCCTCCTCCTCCTACTCCTCCTCGCTATATGCTGTATTTATATATATATATATATATATATACTCACCTGCAGCGAACGACTCCTTTCTTTTTTTTCATTGTTGCCGGGGATTTGTTTTCAAAACTTATACCCGTGAACTTACGCCTGACCCCGAGTAATTCGTGCAAGCGTGCGCGTTAATGTTACAGGAGACGATTTCGTTAGATGAGGTTTACGTCCAAAAGATGAACTTTACTCTTGGTCGCCTATACGGATGATTCGGCGCTTTCTCTGGAAAAACTTTCTCATCGAGCTCGCATATCCTTTCTCTCTCTCTCTCTCTCTCTCTCTGGTCCCTTTTCCATTTGAATCCTACATACGTACCTACCAATGAATATTTATGTAGTTGTTACCTCACACCCGTGTTGGGTAAAAGTTGAGCGTAAGTTACGTAAAGCTTGTATGGGAAATAAAAAATTCTCCGGTGTTTGGTCGAAAGGGGGAAAAGAAAAGGAGCGTCATGGGTGGTGTTTACGTGACTGTCGCGTCGATGGGGAATCCCGCCTGTAAAATGCATCGATGCGTCTCGAGAAAAATCGGTTGTAATACCTTTACTTGTTGGGCCGAATGTCGTGAAACGGCCCGATCGGGAAGTGACAATCGGATATCATCGGACAGCCGGGCGGTGACGTCACCTCGTCGGTGTGCCACAACGGGAACCCAAACGATGAGTGCCGTATACAGTGCGTGTGCGCGTGTGAGTGTAGCGCCGACCTACTTGTCGAGGCGATTGGAATCCGTAAATAATACCTGTACACCGTAACTCGCGTACAGGGTTATTCTTCGGCTATTTTTTTTTTCCTCCTCTTTCGAGTTCTGGTGCCAAGAATGGGGAAACTCTTGCTTTACTTTTCCGCTATCGTGCGTTGGCTGCGACGATTTTTGCGAAATGGCCTTTTTTTCGGAAATCAACTGGTGTTTGCATACGATTTTTTTTTTAACTCATAAACCAGACAAGATACAAGAAAACCCACATAGTCTAGTGCTAAAAAAACCGCAGATTTGAAATCATAATAAAAACAGATGTATAAATAATAAAGCAACCGATAGGTGTACATTTTTTTTCTTATACTAAAGTGATTTCATTATCTTTACTAAATAGGTATACGTACAAATGTAAAAAGTACAACTAATGTTTTTTTATTTTTTTAAATTTCTTTTTACCGCTGAACCCTAACTCTCTCACAGTATACTTATAATGATTTTTCTTGCGAGAGCGCGTGTTATTTGCCGCCCCAGTGAAAACGTAAGTAAGTTGTATACCCTACCTACTTACTTGCGGTAGTTTGACCTACTCTTTCTCTCTAATTTTTCTGTCGTCGCATCTACTTACCTGTTGTTCGTCACGTAAGCCACGAAGGAGGCTCCATCACTTAGGTACTGCAGTAGTCAATTCAGTGACGATTGACGTGTGATGTCACTTGACGGAAGCTTTCATTAATGCTACAGTAGTTTGTTGGTAATGAAATCTTTGTTTTATTTTCAACTGAACCTATACGTGCTATCGCATCCAATATTTTATTGCGCTCGCTTCGTGTAGGTACAGAAAAATATGTACACTCCATTTTAATAGTTTAATTGATGGTCAAAAGTTTGCTAACTTTGAATCGAATAATCTCGGGATTTTTATCGCGAACCCACGAAAATCAGGATACCAGTGGTCGCACGCGACGCGATTTTCTCTTTTTTTCTCTTTCTTTTCTTTTCACCACCTCTCACCCATACAAAAGTATAGTTTTATTGTTTCAAAGCTCTATGTTATCCCTCCCGGGTTTTTTCTGTCAAAAGACGACCAAAATGTAAGATCCTTTGGTTGGTTGCACGAACTCGTCAGCTATATCCGCCCACACGTATAGATTTGGGCTACACGTATCACCTGGAAACTTGACACGTATACCTCAAGTGCTCGCAATCGAAATAAGCAAGCGGGCGGTTATTATGACGAAATTCTCTCAGGTGCGCGTTGCGCGTGACTCTATACGCACGTAAAAAAACTTGGTTGCGCATAAGTAGGAAAAAGGAAACATATACATATAACATAAACTTTTTGAATGATCAACGGTATATGAAAAATGAAAAAGAAGGGAAAAAAGGTAATAATCAAACGAAACATTTACAGGAGGATGCTGCGGCTCCATGAAAAAGCGGACGATAGTGGGCGGCTA